TCTTCACAAAAAGAGTTGCTATGAGGTGAATGGTTAATCTCCAACCATTCATGAAAAGGCAACCAGATGGCTCTTTGCAAAAAAACAAACTCTGGGGCGGGGGAGAAGAAACTTTTGTACCATTGAAGTATATGCACTTTTGACCCGCATGTAAATGAAATGACTTCAAAGTCAATTTGTGTCTTGATTCTATCTTATGCATTTGAGATGTGGCCTGGACATGGCTTTCAAGGGTGATCCTCAGCCCAGAGAAACTTGTACTGTCCATCTTTACTCTTTGTATAGTACGCTGGTTTGTAACCATTCCTGGACTTTTTGTTGACATGTAATGGTTATGCTCAGTGGTGGGATTCAGCCAGTTCACACCACTTCGGGAGAACTGGTTGTTAACTTTCTGAGCAGTTTGGTGAACTGGCTGTTGGAAGAAATCATTAGGGCTGTTAAATTATTTGAATCCCATCACTGGTTATGCTGTCTGAGACCACATCCACCAATTCACCTGGCTGGAAGCATAATGATGGATATTTTGACATGTCTTGCAGTGAGATTTCTTGTAGTTTTTCTGCCACAAACCATGTCTCCAAGCAACAGTTTTCCTCCTTGCAGTTTGTGACAGTCTGTAAAGTGAAACTGACAAGGTGCCTGATTGTCTGAAGTGTTGAGCCATAAAGGTCTCATAAACCAGCCTTTGGGTTGTTGCGCGTAGCACAAAATGCATCGCTTTATAAAAAGAAACACAGCTGTGGGAGGAAGCAACAGGAGCCAGGAGAGGGGGCATGTCAGGGCAAACTAAGGTGGCAGAGGGCCCAGCTCAGCCTGCTTTCAATGGATATCTTACCTGATAATTTTGAAACTGGCATTTCAAGAAGTCTAGAAAACACAGGTTAAGAAAGGCAGGATCACAATTCTTTCTAAACAATTTCACAAGGAGAAGGAATCTAAAAAGTTATTATGCTTGTTATTAAGACTAGCTGCCTGCAATTACTGCAGGTTCGAATCTCGCCAAGGCTCAAGGTTGACTCAGCCTTCCATCCTTTCTAAGGTACGTAAATTGAGGACCCAGTTGTGGGGGCAATAAGCTGACTTTGTATAAATATACAAAAGGATGAAGGCTATTGCTGAGCACATTGTAAGCCGCCCTGAGTCTCTGGTGAAGGGCGGCATATAAATCAAATAAAAAAAAAAAGTTCACAAAAATAGCCACAACACATATACACAACATGTCTGTGTATACATAAAATGATCCTTAGTTTCAATTCTGTGTTAGAGTCTTAGGCAACTGCATAAGAAGTTGGAAGATTTTTTATTCTACCTATAGATTTTCTACATTCTACAACCCTAGAAGTCATTTCCCCTTCCCACCATGCATTGCAAGCAACATGCTGCTCCTGAAAATTATCGTTGTTGGGAAAGCAACTGTGGGCTTTAGGGAGCCACCTCTTTCCTAAGAATATTAAATAGGGACAACCAATCTCTTCTCGGTCAGAATTCTATTTTTATTTTCAACAATATAGTGGAATGTTGTAAAGGAATTATGTAAAGGATCTCTTTCTGGCCATCTATCTGCCTGGCCATCAGCAGGATAACTCTTTCAAAGAAAAACAGAACTAAATTAAATTTGACCTGGGAAAAAGATTCTGGCAAAAGAAAAAAAAATGAGTTTGAAAATGGCCCAGAGTTTCCAAATAAATGAATAACACCTCCACAAAGCATCAGTAGAGGTAGGTCAGTTAAACATCAAATCAGAGGCTTGCTGTTGCCTCCATTCTAAGCTTTCTTCACTTTTCCTCCACAATCATAGGACCTAGACTTAGAAGCCACATGGCATATGCTTTCCCCAACTCTTATTTTATATTTTATCAGCCAAGAGAAGTGTGTGTCTGTGTGTGTGTGTGCACGTGTGTGCAGGCATTATTTGGTGACTTCCTGAGAAACTTTGGTAGCTTCATATTAATAGGTTCCATGGACACAATGAAAGGGCTGTGTACTACATGAAATCCATAAGCTATAGACTAATGTTTCTCAACCTTGGGAAGAATTGTAGGCTTCAATTCCCAAAGCAAATACTTTGCTTTGCTGACTGGGAATTCTGGGAGTTGAAGTCCACATATCTTACAATTCCCAAGGTTGAGAAACTTTGTTATAGACTGTTCCAGAATACTAGAAAGAAAATCTGTATTGTCTGCAGTCAGAGATGCTAGTGAAGAAATTCTACTCTGCTTTGCTGCACAAGTACTCAGAAAAAAGACTTTCAGAGGAACAAATCTATTGGGCCAATCAATATTATTATATATTTTTTTCTAGTTCTTTTCAAGCAGTCATTAATTCTCATCATTAGCATTCACAGGCTAAAACTTCAAACACAGAATTAAATTGTATCTTGGCAATTGGAGCTGTTATATTGCATAGGATTCATGTAGCTAGAAGAGCAAAGTAGATGGACTCAATTGTGATATCATTGAAAGATGTAAAGCATCAGGTTGAGGACAGATCATCCTTATTTAAAAAAGGGTTATTTTCATTTCAGAAAATAAAGAGAAAACATCTTACTATAATTATGCATGAAACATCTGTTGCTTGAGTATTTTGTCTCATAGTTATTAGGAAAAAAGAACAATCTTATGGTCATACATTTTCAACAGGCAATCATGAGTATTAATTAGATAATTTTTCAAGTTATCATCTATCCTTAGCCATTTTTTAAAAAATAAAAAGTACTTTTTAGAAAAGTATAAAGTAGGCTCTGATTTTTTTAATAAAATGAAATCTAGTCAAGCCCATATCCATTCTAAAAGTTGGGAAAGGACAACTGGGTTGGATTGTGATGGAACATAGTGAAGAAATAGATCCCAGTAGGGTTTTGTTTGTTGGTATGAAACAATAAAGAATTCAACTTGGTAGAATTTCTGTGTGTCGTTTTTGGTTTTGGGCCGGACAGGAATAGCTTTACTATTATATGTTCCTCTCTCTTATGTGACAATCTGGAGAGAATACAGAAGGTGCCAATGACAAAAGTACATGATGATGTATTTTTTATGTTTAAAAACATAATGTTTAAAAGATGTAATGGGAAATTGTGAATGGAGCTTGTTAAAGAAATGTAAGCGTTGTACCTATCTATGACCGGATCGAGACTTCATTCTTGAAAGATATATTTTATGTTTAAGTCTGAAAAAATAAAAAAATATTTTTTTAAAAAAAATGCATGATGATGTTAGCAGTGGTGAAATCCAAATTTTTTTACTACCAGTTCTGTGGGCATGGCTTGGTGGGCGTGGTGTGGCTTGGTGGGCATGGCTTGGTGGGCATGGCAGGGGAAAGATACTGCAAAATCCCCATTCCCACCCCACTCCAGGGGAAGGATACTGCAAAATCCTCATTCCCACCCCACTCCAGGGGAAGAATACTGCAAAATCTCCATTCCCACCCCATTCTGGGGCCAGCCAGAGGTGGTATTTGCCGGTTCTCTGAACTACTCAAAATTTCCGCTACTAGTTCTTCAAACTACTCAAAATTTCCGCTACCGGTTCTCCAGAACCTGTCAGAACCTGCTGGATTTCACCCCTGGATGTTAGCCCACACATTGTGTGACTCAACTACTTACATCAGATGTCAGAATAAAACTAGGCAAGATGACCTCTCTCTGGATGTACTATCATTTCTCCTGTCATTGCAGTTTATAACTGACAACGCTGATCATATTACAATTATTTCATCTAATTTTCCAGAGTCTTTCCTGACACTTGGACTTTTCATTTGATTGACAAGAGAGCAGTGTGTCTGCCTGTGAGGTAGGTCTTTTGACTTGAGAACATAAATCCAAGAGTCTCTTAGTTCGTGCTGGCCTTTTCTGTGCATTGAATAATTCAGCAAGGTGGCCATTTAGCAGCAGGAATGGAAAGAAGCTCAAGTAAGCATTTATGCTAATGACTTGTTATTTTCAGGGTTTGTTTACTGTGTTGTCAGTGACAATGTCCAATGGATAAAATTCTAAAATTAAGAAGCAACCATTAATGTATCCTTTGAGTCTCCAAGTACACAAAAAAAGCCCCCAAGTGATTGTGAATGTACAAAGAACAAAAACAACCTGCCCATGCCTAATTGTGAGTTACTTTAATGGATTAATACAGTACTACTAAAAGCTACTGTATGATATTTAATAACCATCCCCATTGATTTACATGTTATTTATTTACATATTAGAAATATTTATTGGCGAACAAGAATATTACTTACCAGGTAGCACACAATGTAGTTTTAAAAATATTTTTTCTTACATTTCTGTTTAAGAACATGACATGTGGAGATAATAGCATGTTTATTTTTGTTTGTAACTCATACTCACATACAGATGGTGTAATTTTAATATAACATACTATTTCCCATCTCGGTTGCATTAAAAATTAACCACATTGACTACATTATAATATATTTATCCATAGTTTCATTGCATCTTCATGGATAGAATTAAAGTGACTTTTTTAATTTAAAAAAATCCAGATGGCCTTTCATATCTTGAATAGGTTCCAGAGGATTCAGTTGTCTAGGGCTCTCAAAACTCCATAGCTCAACCTGCCCACCACACTGGTCATGTGGATCCTTCAGGATCCTTGGAATCTGAAGGATCCTGTTCAGGATCTGATTCAGCCACTGATTGTTCCATGTTGTGGAGTAAGTCTTGGGTGAAAGACTTGGAATTCCTGAGCTTTACCATTAACTCACTGTGTAAGTAGAGACTGCCACCATTTCACAGCTCTGGTTTTCAGAAATGGGCACTCTCATTATGTAGCTGATTAACAGAGTTGAAGAATGTCATAATTATCAAGCACTTTACATGCTGTGCTCCAAACCTCTGTTTGCTTCATAGGAAGTATGTGCTATGGCTTTTGGTTTGCAGATAAATAACAGGCTTTGGATTGTTCTGAGAAAGAGACGCAGACATTATTTACAGCAGAATATGCAACAAAATGTTGCATTCCAGACTGTTCTTGTTCTAGAGTGCTCTTGAATTTTCTTTCTTTTTCCCCTGCAGATCTTGCGTGGGAATTGAGATGTCTACAAACAACATTCCCCTCTAAACTTCATAATGGTGAGATTCTTTTCTGTGACTCCCTAATACTCCAAAACGTTTCACCAAATTTCCACTGTAACTACAGTATAGTCAAAAAGGAAAATGATTGCATACATAGAGCGTGTTAAATAGAGCAGTATTTAATGTAATGTGATTACTACATTCAAAACAATTCAAATTAAGTATGTTTTGGCATACTCTTTTTCCTAGGCCTCAAGGAGTGGGACTTTGCTTGCTCTATGCAGCCACCATCTTCACTTTTTTTTTTCTTTACAAATATGCATGTACCTATTTTAGATGCCCCTGCAAGACAGTATCCAGCAGACTATTTCAAGACCAGCCACGATGTCCCTTTTATTAAATCAGGAAGAGAGAGAAAGAAGAAAATGATGATACTATCAGAAGAATAATTTGGGGTTCCAACTCAACCTGGGGTTGCAGAAGAATAAATAAAAATGAAATCCAGACAGCTGTGAGGAAAGAGGAAATATTTATTCTTAAAAGCAAGGTGTTTGCCTTTAGCTGCAGTTGAAGAAAAATCAGATACAGAAACATACTTTTATAAGGACGCTTGTCTTGGTATGGAAACATATACATGCTGATTCTAGGGTGACCCTTGAGGGATGTGTGTGTGTGTGTGTGTGTGTGTGTGTGTGTGTGTGTGTGTGTGTGTATAGCATCTATGATGTTTATTCTTGGGAGCATGCAGTTCCTGGGAGACCTAATTGAATTAACTCTAATTTATGTTTACAGACCTTATCCATTGATATGTGGATTAGGTCTGGGTAACTTATTGTGGATTTGAGGAAGTTTGAGTAAAAGATTTTCCCATTTGCTATTTTTACTTGATCAGCTTAGTTTCAGTTTGACCGTCAGTTATGGACTAAGAATCAGAATCTCCACTTGACTGTCAATTATGACAGTCAAGTGGAGATAGTGATTTTCAATCCATTGTGGATTCTGTTAATGTTTTAAGAAAAGATGGGAACAGTATAAAGAGTAAAATGTATTTTGATATGAAACTTCTCACAGTCAACATATTGAAGGTGGGAAGCAGGGTAACAGAACAATCATTGGGAAATTTTCTCTTTGTGTTGGCTGTCAGCATTCCAGAAAACCCCCCGACTCCCAGTAAAGACGCGGAAGCAGGCATTTTTCAAAGTTCTCTTTACTAGAAATAGGTAAACTGGCACATCTGGGAAATCCCGAATCTGAAAAGCCCGGGCTTTCCTTCAGTAATACAAAGCTCCCAAAACCATCCCCTTTCTCCTCAATCGATCACATGCTCCAATCACCGTCCGTTCCACCTCGACCCAGCACCTGACCCTCCTCCTCCAGATGCTGGATCACCCTGACCTTGACTGATAGGAAGAATGCTATTATGTCTACTAATTCCCCTCTCCTAAATCCCCTCTCCTACTTTCCCACACATGAGGAGGTGGCAGTATTGAAGTTTCCGGCCTAATATGGCTTCCAAGGCTGATAGGCTATATGACAATAGAGAAGTGGTGAAATCCAATTTTTTTTACTACTGGTTCTGTGGGCGTGGCTTGGTGGGCGTGATGTGGCTTGATGGGCATGGCAGGGGAAGAATACTGCAAAATCTCCATTCCCACCCCACTCCAGGGGAAGGATACTGCAAAATCTCCATTCCCACCCTACTCCAGGGGAAGGATACTACAAAATCTCCATTCCCTCCCTACCCAGCCAGAGGTGGTATTTGCCGGTTCTCTGAACTACTCAAAATTTCCGCTACTGGTTCTCCAGAACCTGTCAGAACCTGCTGGATTTCACCCCTGCAACAGAAGCTTCTGGTCCTCCTTTTCTTCACTTGTACTATGTTATAATCTAGTGCAATTAAATAGCGTTGGGAAGCAGAATTATGTCTATCTTACGATAAGATTCTAAAAGAGAAAAAGGATTTCTCTAATGTGATAACAGTTTTATGCCTTCATTTATACCCAGCAGTGTGGGAATGATTACCCTTCAAACTGTAGTCACCAGCTTCATTATATGGCTCAGTAGAATGGTTGATTCTTGCGTGTCTCTTTATTTAGCGCCATCATATCTAAACAGCTTCCCCGCCCCCTAATGATTTCTCCTGGCAGCCCATATAACAGATACATCATTTTGGTAAAGAAGTCTGTGCTGCCAGCTGTGTGGCCTTTGCCTTTATTTGCTTTCAGAACAAAAGAGAACAAAGTAAACGGAGAAAGAAAATGGAAGTAAAAGGATGGAATAAATGCTTCTTAGTGCACAGATATCAAAAGGCCATCTCAGTGCTGCTGTTAATGCGGTGTCTTTCAAATGTGGGTCAAAAGCACCCAGATTCAAGTCTAGCCTCAGCTACTAAAGTTCACTGGATGACTTTGTGACAGTTGTTCTTCTTCAACCCAGTCAATCCCCTAGAATTACTAATGTGGATGAAGGAATATTATGCAAGCTGCCTTGAGCTTCTAGAGTGATGGCTAGCCTTTTTGCCATTGCGTGCCAAAAGCGGGGGGGGGGGAGAAGCCCGCATGCCCACCCTCAATTCCCCCCCTGCCCCCCAACTCCCCCCACATGCATGCGCGAATCCCCTTGCTCCCCTCACTTTTGGCATATGATGGCACAGTGGGGCCGGTAGGCCCGTTTTTCACCCTCCCAAGGCTCCAGAGGCCTTTCCTGACCTCTGGTGGGCCCGGAAGGCCTGAAAATCAGCTGGCCAGCGTGCGCATGCGTGCTGGAGCTGAGCTAGGGCAGTGTTTGCGTGCCCACAGATATGGGTTCGCTTGCCATAGGTTCGCCATCACGGTTCTAGAGGAAAGATGGGATCTAATATATAGAACATTTGCATAAATTGTGGCTAACCTAACAACTAGTTTATATCTTTAATATACCGTGTACCTCCCAGTGAAGTACTATCCGCTTCGATCTAAGCCAGTTCTTGAAGACTTGGACAAGGTTTTCTCAAAAAATGTTAACAGAGTTATATAATTCAGTCAGAGGATGCCAGTTACTGAAGCTAGGTCCTTATATACAGTGTGTATTGTTGTTGCACTATTGGATGATAGTTCCTTATATAGGCAAATATTTCTCTTTCTGCAATTTATATCCTCTTATTTTCTTCCCTTTTATTTCCTGATGAATGATCCCCCGTTCTGGTGCAGAAGATTTAGTGGTATGTGAGAATGTAGGTGAGAAACCATTCCATTGGTAGAAGCCACCCCATCCAGACACATCTGGATACAGTAGCATGTCTGCAGATACTCAAAAACACATCTGTTTATGAATATATAAGAGTTATCTACTTTCAAAACTGCCCTCTTCTTTAAAAACCAGACATTATGGCTAGATTCTTTACTCCTGTTAGACATTCTTATCATATTTCTATACAGAAAAGTAAATATGTTACGAAATAATAAGGATTTGAGTGTATCTGTATGCACATGTAACACAGAACCAGTCAGTCCTTGATCTTTGTTTGTTTCTGACAAAAGGATTCCTTCAGCATAATTGGTTCTTCGGTTTCTTTAGGTTTTTTTTTTTATATATACACAAAAGAGAAACAGATGACAAGAATGTCTTTTTAACTTACCATTTCCTTACTCTTTCTTTCATGTTAAGTTGTACATCTCTCATGGTGGATTAAGTTGCCACTGACAGGCGATGTGAAGCTGACTTTCCATTAGAATCAAATAGAATTATCTATTAGATACAGCTCCTTATCTCTTATACTCATCTTCTTCTCACAGTCTTTCCCTTCCTTTCCTTTCTCTTTAACTTGCCAGGTTCCTCCTACTCACCACTTCTGTGAAATACTTTTTTTAAAAGTTAATTTTTTACTCTGAAATGCTCTTTAGCTCCCTTGTTTTTTTTTCCTGCTACCAATATTGTTGCTTCTTTGCTTAGCCATTCTCTGAATCAATAGTCAGAATATAATAAGAGCCTTGGTAGTACAGGGGTTTAAGGCACCCTGTTATTAAGCTTATTAAGACCAGCTGCCTGCAATTACTGCAGGGTTCGAATCTCGCCAAGGCTCAAGGTTGACTCAGCCTTCCATCCTTTCTAAGGTAGGTGAAATGAGGACCCAGTTTGTGGGGGCAATAAGCTTTATATAAATATACAAAAGGATGAAGGCTATTGCTGAGCACATTGTGAGCCGCCCTGAGTCTTCGGAGAAGGGCGGCATATAAATCAAATTAAAAAAAAAATAGACTAACAGAGTTGGAAGGAACTTGTAGGTCATCTAGTCCAACCCCCTGCCTAAGCAGCAGACCCTATTATACCATTTCTGACAATCTCTTCTTGAAAGCTTCCAGTTATGAAGCTCCCACAATTTATGAAGGCAAGCTGTTCCATTGGTTAATTGTTCTCACTGTCAGAAAATTTCTCCTTATTTCTAGGTTGAATCTCTCCTTGATCAGTTTCCATTCATTCCATCTGGCCTGCTTTGGAAAATAGGTTGACCTCTCTGTGACAGCTTCTCAAGTATCATGTCTCCCCTGGTCCTTCTCTTCACTAGACTAGCCATGCCTATTTTCTGTAAGCCTTTTATGTTTTAGCCTCCAGTCCCCTAATCATCTTTGTTGCTCTTCTCTGCACTCTTTCTAAGTTTCAAAAAAATTTTTTTATAGTGTGGTGACTAAAACTGGATGCAGTATTCTAGGTGTGGTCTTACTAAGGCTTTATAGAGTGGTATTAGTACCTCACGTGATCTTGATTGAATCCCTCTGTTAATGCAATTTAGGATTGCATTGGCTTTTTTGGCTGCCGCTGCACACTGCTGGCTCATATTTAATTGGTTGACAACTAAGACTCCAAGATCCCTCTCCCAGTTACTGCTATTAAGGATGGTTTCTCCCAATCTATATGTGTATATAGATTGGGAGAAATCTGTATAGTCAGTGTTCTTGGACTTTTTTTCTGTGCCATCATAATTCACAGTGACTGATGCTAATCAACATTAAGATCATTGCTTGTTATGCATATTTTTAAATATAAAATACCTGTGTCTCATTTTAGAAAATGATTCATACATATCTACCTTCATAAAAGGTTTAAGATCGTGTGTATAAATGCACGGCAGCACATTTGATTGAGGGCACTGTTTTTATAGCAATAAATTCATTTATCTCATTCTGCTCCACTAATTTTCCACTGTTTTATTCTTTTCTATGTTCCATCCAGATGCCTTCTGATTTAACTTGTAGAAATTTTAACACTGATTACAGAACTGATGTGTTTATAGTTTTCCTTTTGCATCACTTTTTTAATAGAATAGAGATGCACGCCACATATCTGAATTGATTTAAACACAGCATGAAGGTAATCTTGATGTGATTGATATATTTTTGATGCAGAGCTCCAAAACATGTTCTAAACATAGACAGTTTAAATATTTTAAATTACTGGATTTATTTAGAAAATGCTTCACATTATTTTTATTAATAACAATTCAATGTTGTGCATCTCTAGGTTGGCATTT